GGGAAGCAGGGCAAGGGCACATAGGAGTTAAGTGGAAAACGAATGACACCTCTGGGCCTGGCCGACCCACACAGCATCCTTCTGCCCACAGACTCAAGCAGGCACAGATGAAGGAACTGCCAACTCTGGCACTCTGCAAAATTTCCAGTAGGTTTGACATAGGAGCCCAGAGTACGATGGTGTTCTCAGAGAGGGCTGGCCGTGGAATTTCATGATCCCCCTGCAAGGATGCATCACTGGGTCTGAACCACGTGCCATCTCACTCCCCACTCTTGGAGCAAGTTGCTCTGACAGCTGCAAACACTCTGGGTCGGCCTTTTATCACCACCTGAGCTGCCGTACCCAACTTTGTTATAGACTACCACTTCAGATAAAACCCATTAAGACCACACCCAACCTTCACATTTTTTTAAATGATTGGGAGGAAAACTTGCTCTTACTTCTATCATTAAAATAAACACATCTACTTAGTGGGCAAGAATGAGAACACAGATGAAAAAGTACTCCTTCTAATGAGTTACACTGGAAGGTGGAAATGGGGAAGGGACTGCTTGAAACACATAATGGGAAAATGTCTCACCATTGTCCCATACCATGCACTGATACACTGGGTCAAATGCCTGTCATATATTCTGAAGACAATGTCTTTCTCCTTGATGTCTTAAAATTTTGTTTTAAAATCACATTTAAAGGCTCCAAACATGCAGCAATAATACAAAAAAAAAAAAAAAAAAAAAAAAAAAAAAAAAAAAAAAAAAAAAAAGAAAGAAAGAAAGAAAAGAAAAGAAAAGAAAGAAATAAAAACAAATGAAAATAACACCACAACATTAAAAAGTGCAACTTACTTTGAATGGGGCCTGGACGGGCTCCTCTGGCACTAGTGACCCATAGTCACAGAGGGGAGAAAATGATGGGGAAAAGCCACACACACACCCACACACACGCACACCCACACCCACACACACGATTCTGGGCAGACAGACTCAAAAGGATTAGGAAACACAACAGCTCATCTTTCCTCAACTACTGAAATGAGCTGGTGAGACCACAAAGAACAGGACGCCAGGTCCCCCTCCCTAGGCCACGTCTCTAAATAATCTTGGTCTAGCACCACCGTAAACAACGCAGAACTTTCACACGGACGTGCAAATGCTATGAGTCCTTGGAATTCTAGTGTTACTGAAGGTATGCTGAGTCCTCCTCCTGTGGATGGCGAGTGTGAGGAGGAGGGGACCAGATGGTTTTCAGGACCATTTCCAGGAGAAAGGGAACTTTCCTGAGGTTCAATGCTCAGCAGGAGAAGTAGAGGACCCTCCTTCACCGTTTCCTAAAAAGGTTGCACCTTAAAATAGGTAAAATCCACGGACTGCATTTTGAGTAGTTTGGGCGGTAGGGCAAAATTAGGCAACTTCTTCCAAGGAGCCTGGAAAATCTAAAATTGAGACCCCTAAACCAAACTGCTTCTCAACAACCAGATGATCGCTCCTGCTCCTCCTCTTCCTTGGCAAAAAAGGTCTCCAATTCCATTAGTTTCTGTATCAACAGAGCATCCAGCTCTCGACTCTGCAGAGCTGCCTTCTGGGCCCTGGTAAAGCTGCCTGCCACCTTGACTTTACCACGAGCTCTCCTCTTTCGTGGGACTGTAAAATCCTGAAATTCTAGAACTCGTTTTCTCTTCTGTTGGCTGATTGAGATTAGCGTACCATTTCGTTCCTTAGGTTCCTCAAAGATGGTCTCCAAACACCTAAGGGTGGAGCACAAAAAAAGAATCACCAATACAATGACTCACGTGGCCCATCTCCTGGGTCACCAACCCTTCTGGTCAACTGGGGCTAAAACAACTAATGACTACTTACTTGACTGCTTTCTCTGGCCAGTATCTTTTTATGTACGAAGAAAAATATGTATTTATGGATATGTAATATATGAACACCCAGTGAAAAAACTGACACTGAGCAAAAGGGTAAGGAATAAAGACCAGACCCTGTAGGTAACACCAGCCACTTTTTTATGTATTCACAAAGTCATTCAATCAGAGACATGCATAAATAAGCATATATTACCAGAGATCAGCCCTTTTGTATAAAGGGACAGGTAGGAAACATTTTTAAATTAATGAGCACATAGGACTCGATTATATTTTTTGTTTTTAAACAACCCTTTAAGAATATAGAAACCTTTTTTTTTTTTCTCACAGACGGTAACAAAAAAAGAAAGGAAATGGGCCACTCGTTGAATGTGGCCTATAGTCTGCTAACCCACAGCATATATCCTCCACTTTGGTTTTCTTCTTGTGTTCAAATGGTAGCAAACCACATACACTGCCCTATACACTGTGCCTCTCTGATCTGTCAATAACTTTTAAGATTATTCTAATTCAGTAAACAGGTATCTGATTCATTCCTTTTAATGGCTACAGTGTATTCCATTATAAGGCTGAATCATAATTCAATTTTAAGTTGTTTCCAATCGTTTCCTATTATTTAGCAATGCTGCAATGAATAACCTCGTACAAAGGTCTTAGAGCAAATGTTCACTTTACAGGATAAAATCCTAGAACTCTCCTGCTACAACCTGGACACAACAGGAATTTAATAAATGTTCCCTGACTTGAACTGAATTCACACTCAAAGGTAGCCATGTGAAACACTGTCTGTGTTTGGATTTGTAATCATATCTGAAGATCAATGATTACTAGTCCTGAAAAGGACAGCCAGTTTTTTGCTAAAAACACAAGTACAAACTGAAAGGAAGTGGTGTTTTCTGTACCTACCTAACTCATCACACATTTCTGTCCCATCCTACCACCAACCCCAGTTCAAGCACTGGGAACTAAAAATACCAATTCTAGTTATTTCCAATAACTTCCTTTCTAAAGTGAATGGATTGGAGATTTGCATCGATCATTTCAGAAGCCCTCCCAGTCTATTCACTCCTACTCATGTACCCACCTGTTTGCAGGAGGAGACTTATAATTCTTGTTGGTATATATTTCTTCTAAACTAAACTCCTTTTTCTTTAATCTGAAAAGAGAATAAAATAAATTCTTCATGTTCTCTTAAGAGAAATAAAATTGGCTTCCCAACTTGATGGGTCATTTTCTTACAGGCCCTCTGGATTGAGATTGATCGATTTTTTTTTTTTTTTTAATGTTTATTTTTCAGAGACAGCAAGACAGTGCGAGCATGCACAAGCAGGAGAGGTGCAGAAAGAGAGGCAGACAGAGGATCCCAGGTAGGCTCTGCACTGACAGCAGAAAGCCTTACATGGGGCTAGAACCCACAAACCACAAGATCGTAACTTGAGCCGAAGCTGGACCTTTAACTGATTGAGCCACCCAGGTGCCCCTGCAATGAATTTTGGATGTGTCTCACATGCACAACATGTACCAGATTTTCTTTTCTAGGCTGCCAATCTTCAGCTTTATGAAATTTAGTCCATTTATACTTACTGGCAATGATATAGCTGTATTTGTATCTACTATTCATATTTTATAGCTTCTTTTACCTTTTCAATATTTCTTTTCTTCTCCTTAACTGACTGCTGTTCACTTCTCTTTTATCCCCCTTTCCTGGCTTGGAAATTATACACTTCTCTTTCAGTGGTTGGCAAGAATTTTAAGAAGTTTTCTTAACTTGGAAACTGGAGTGCATCAATCTTTTTACCCTTCTCCCAAACACCAGTCCCTGGAACTTTTAATTCCAATCAATACCATCTCAATTTATACATTACTAGTGTTCTATTTTGTCTCCTTTTTTATTTTGTCATTTGAAGAAACCAGATTGTCTGACCTGTGGCTTCCCCAGTCTATATTATGATTACACCCACGAAATATTATTTAACCCGTTCCTCTAAACCAAACATATGGAAAATATTACAGGTATTTCCTATAGATTGACAATTAGATATAAGAGGCATAATCAGATTTAGGTGTTTTGATAGGAAGATTTTTATTTTCTTCTTCTTCTTCTTGTTTAATGTTTACTTATTTTTGAGAGAGAGAGACAGAGCATGGGCAGGGGAGGGGCAGAGAAAGAGGGAGACACAATCTAAAACAAGCTCCAGGCTCTGAGCTATCAGCACAGAGCCTGATGTGGGGCCCTAACCCATGAACTATGAGATCATGACCTGAGCCAAAGTTGGATGCTTAATTGACTGAGCCACCCAGGCACCCCGATAGGAAGATTTTTAGATGGTGGTGTATACTTTCATCCCGAGGGAAAGGATACCTGTTGTTGATCTTTTTAAAATATTACTAGCCACTGAAGAACACTGACTGTATTTATTACTTCTTTAGGGCCATACTTAATGATAGTCTAGCACTCCTTCTCAATTCATTTGGTAGAATTCTTCTGTCTAAATTGAAACTTCATGTTCATCCATTACTTAGTAACCCTGTAGTACACTTTGCACAGGAAAAACAGCTCATGCTTGGTTCTTTCCCTTTATTTACTGATTTCCAAACAATTACTTGGTTCTCTAATCTCATCAAAATATGGCCAATGGATTGTTTTAAAAGTGTCATTATAGGGGCGCCTGGGTGGTTCAGTCGGTTAAGCATCCAACTTCAGCCCAGGTCATGATCTCACAGTCCGTGAGTTCGAGCCCCGTGTTGGGCTCTGTGCTGAAAGCTCAGAGCCTGGAGCCTGCTTCAGATTCTGTGTCTCCCTCTCTCTCTGCCCCTCCCCTGCTCATGCTCTTTGTCTCAAAAATAAATAAAAACATTAAAAAATTTTTTTTTAAAAGTGTCATTATAAACTATTCCATTTAAACATATTTCTTATGCTCCAATCTGTTGCAGTTATTATTCTTTTTGATGCTCTGTTTCATCTGTGGCCAGTGGGAGTTCCAAATTGGTTTCTGAGTCTCTTTGACATGACTTTAGTAGTCTTTGAGAACTTCATCACTTTCTGGTAGGACAAGATATTCTACACTCATCTTGTACATTTCCTGCTGTAGATCTTTGATCAGTCCTCAAAGAGTTTTGGTTGACATACCATAAAACTTACCCTTTTATTTACTCATTTGTTTATGAGTATACTCAATTCATTTATTATTCATCGTTGCTACGATGTGGAAGATAATAGCTTCAACCCTCAGGTCACCACACTTATATCAGTAGAAACTTACTGTGATAACTTTTATATTAACCATTACTAGTGTTAACTTATCACCACAGAGTTTCTGTATTTTAAACCTGTTTCATTCAGATAAGAAAAGCAGAGTCTGAAGAGCATGTTAATTAACTTTTTGGCGTCATGTTTTAGTTTCTTTATGAGAATCTTAACTGAGATTCGGTTTGGTTCAATTCCAATTCAGCAAAGAACATGCTTGTGGAAAATATACATAAATAATAATATGTATACAAAGTTTCATAGTGACTTAGCACTGGCGTTCCAAAAGAGGACAACTACTTTGCTTCTGAGCAGTAGCAACTGCTACATTAAAGATGTTGGATGGGCAGTCCGAGAGTGAAAGATGAGCCTCCCAGTCATTCTGACTTGCAAATCAGGGTAGTATGTATCCACATTGTTTCTGGACTGAGGTGAAGGTCTGTGAGCAGAGCTCAGATTCTGGAATTTCTGGCCTCTCAACAAACTGGCTTCTTCAGCAAGACTACATTCACTGGAATGGCACAGTCTGCCTCAAAAGTACAGACACTTTCCGTGGAAGCCCATCTTGCCCAGGGTGGTTTTGGAGAAAGTCTACATTTGAGTGTCTTCCATCTGCTGGGTCTTCTCTCCCTCATCACTTGATCTGTTTTTACGATTTCCATCATAAGGAAGGCAGTTTCAGAGCTAACATCAAAAACTCTTTGCATAAGGTGTGGTCTTGAGCCAGAGATATGCTGATATATACCCTAAGCAGAATATAGCAACAATTTTTGAAGGTATCTGTTTTCTGGCCTAGAAAATGACCAGAAGACACTTAATACCTAAGATGACCAACTGCTTCTTGAGTAACAATGGCTTTTATACTCTCAGGTAGAGAGAACAAATCTATAAATATGGCCAAAGAGAAAACATCAGGCATTTGGGGGTGGGTTCAAATTCTGATTTTGAGCAACCATCTCTCTCATTTACAAATGTTTATAGAAGTCATGGCTGCAGAAGTGGTCTATATAAAATAGAAGTCTTAGGGAATTTCTATTCCCCTGAAACCTCCACTATTTTACACAAATGACAGCACTCCATAGACAATTTTGGCTCTAGCATAACATTATCTTAAGATACTGATTATACAAATATATAAAGCAGTGCATCTTGTTTTGTGTGTGTTGTGTGTGTTTTTTAATTTCAGAGAAAGAGAGAGCATGTGCGAGCAGGAAAGAATCTTAAGCAGGATCCACACTCAGTGCAGAGCCCAACACAGGGCTCAATCCCACAACCCTAGGATCATGACTTGAGCCGAAATCAAGAGTCTGCCTGGGACTTTCTCTCCCTCTCTCTCTGCTCCTCATCCTCTTGTGCATTCTCACTCTCTCAGAATAAATAAATAAGCATTAAAAAAAACAAAAACAAAAACAATGAAATTTCCTGTGGGCGGGGTGGCTGGCTAGCTTAGTCAGTGGAGCATGCAACTCTTGATCTCAGGGCTGAGTTCGAGCCCCACGTTGAAGTTGGAGTTTACATAAAAAAACAAAATTCCTATGGTTTCATCAAGTATTCTTACACTCTGATTTGTTTCTACTTAAATTTGATTCATTGGGGATTTTTTCTGGTGAAAGGTCTAAGGTACAGATCCAACTTTATTACTCTTAAAATGGCTACCCAGTTGCCCCAATAGCACTTTACTGAACAGTCAGTCCATCTTTTTACCACTAATTTGAGGGGACACCTTTGTCACATTCTATATTTCTCTATGTAGTCATGTCTACTTCTGGACTTTCTATTTTGTTTTACCAATTTGTATGTTTCTGCTGTGGCATCACACTTCTATTTACTTAGTTATAATATACATATATATATATATATATTTTTTTTTTTTTTTTTAATGTTTATTTATTTTTGAGAGAGAGAGACAAACAGACACAGAGTCTTAAGCAGGCTCCAGGCTCTGAGCTGTCAGTGCAGGGCTCAGTGTGGGATCCGAACCCACGAACCATGTGACTATGACCTGAGCTGGAGTCAGAAGCTTAACCAACTGAGCCACACAGGCATCCGAGTTTACAATATGTTTTAACGTCTCTTAGGATTAACACCTCTCTCATTTCACTCCTTTTCTGAATTTTCCTGGCTATTCTTGCTTATTTATTTTTCCATGTTAACTCTGACTGTGTGAAACATAAACCTTTCCATTTATTCAAATCTCTTCAGCTCTTGGTCGAGTGAATATATTCAAAGTTTTGTTTACTGGCATGCGCCAGTTATAACTTCTTAGCTCAAAATGTACCCTCCAGAACCTGCTCTGTGAAAATGGAATCCTGGACTCTTGAAGCATTTCTTCTTTACAGTAAGTATGATGTTAAAAGCTCCGGCAAAAGAAGGCATTGGGGGAACACTGCTAAGAGGAAAGGAGCTTCTTTTCCTGGTTCTGGTGAACTGTCCCCCCCCATCACTGGTGTATGTTTTGTTGGCGTGCCAGGAGGGGGTCATTTGGAGGGGGCTCTGCCCTAGCTGTGTGGCCAGAGTACGTAGTCCCTCAGTGCTCTGGCAACCCTAGCCTGGTGATCATGCCACATGCTTCCTGACACATGTGGGGCACTCCGGGCCATAAGCTTATACCCCAACTTCCTGAGGGCTGTTTCCTGTGGCCCTCCTGAAGGAAACACCACATGCTCCAGGCATTACATCCACAGAGGCACCCCTAGTCCCTTTGCATGCCTGCCTGCCTCAGTTCATCTGCACCCTAGAAGTTGTTTGCTATTTCCTGCTTGCCTAGATCTGGCCTTAGCAACCCAGCCATCCAATGGGCTGCACCCATACCCTCACGAACAAAGTGAAAATGCCAACATAGAGGAGGTGGCCTCCTTCCAAGTTTGTCCTACCTTGAGTACTTTCCCTCAGTCTTAGGGTGCCCTTCA